CCTCGGGCCTCCTGCCGATTATTAACACCCAAGTCTCCTCAATTGGGCCCTGTTGTTGCAGTTCAGAAGAAAACCTTCTTCCCTGTGTTTTAGCGTAAAAAGGTCTTGTAGTGTACGTTTGTATATACAGACTTTTTTACAAAAAATAAGCCCGGGTGCACACGCAGCTGCCGTGTGCGTTACCGCGGGTTTTGTCCCGGGTGAAAGTGCGGAGTGGAGATTTGGTTGCAGGTGTGGTTTCCTCTAGGCCGTGGCTGACGGTTCCGAGAGCAGGACGGAGAAGAGCTGGGGTACAGCCTGCTGTGTGGCCAGCCCCCGGGCAGATAAGGAATTCTGATGGCAACCCAGCAGGACTGCAGAGTAAAAGCTGTGACCAGTCCTGCTGCCGCAGCTCCCCAGCAGCCGAGCGGTCAGGCACTTGAGGAAAACGGCCCATGGGGAGGCCTGGACTGATGAGTGTGACTCTTGCAGCGAAGTTTACCTTAGATAAGTGCTCAGGCTTAAACCACAGAATTGGTTGTGGTTTTGTGAATGAGGAGCCTCTTATCCACGAGTATTATCCCAAAAAGCACAGGAGAGGGGGCAGCAAATGTGGCTCAGGGCAGGCCAGGCAGTAATAACGCTGCTGGTAGGACAGAGTTTGACATGAGAAAAGCAGCCTGACTTTTTTTAAGCAACTTGCTAGAAGGGGAATTCCGTTCTGAAACTTCCTGTATTGATGGTGTGATGTTCCCTGCTGATTCATTTGCAATGTGTACAGCGGCCTCCCTGAACAGCTCTTGACAAACATATGCAAATCACAGTGGAAATTAGATTTTACTTCCTTCTAAGGGAATTTTCTCTTGGCTGCTGCCAAATCAGATCAGCTGAATTAGCTACCTTCTGTAGATTTGAGATTAGTAGCAGGGACTCAAAAAAAAAAAATTGCAAAAAGCAGAGATTTTTTAATTTTTTTTTTTAACCTGAGTCTGACTGCCTATAGCAAAACCAGGCTGCCACTGGAATGCCAAGTGGTGATGGGAGCTGACCTGTCATTCAAGTGTAGATGGGAACAGTACGACTTGGGGCAGTGTAGGAAGAATCTTACTGAATTATGAAGCCAGTTATCTCCAGGATAGTACATTTTATCAGAGTGTCCTCCTGAAACGCAGGCTGTTTGATCCCCAGAATGACAGATCCGGGCTCTAATACCCAAATGTGGGAAGCTTGCCAGAACCATTATCAGCAGAGGAGCTGATTAGACTGTAAACACTGGCACTTGTAAAACAGGAGTGGTCGTTTCCTCTGGGAAGTTCTGGAAGCTTATTGGTATGACCTATTAAATAATTAAGAAGCAGCTTTTAGTGTTGGTACATGGCTTCTGGTGCTGTTGTCTGCCTTCGTTCTCAAACCACCAAGTGCTGTTAAAACGTCCAGCCCTGAGCCTGTTAGCAGGAGATGGTGCTGGTTTGTGCAAATAGTGCCTTTGTCACTGCCTGCTCCGTCAGATAACGAGGAAGCATCTTTCCTCAGTGATGACGTCCTTGAGGTAAGAGCGCATAAAGTCATCAGAATAACTTTACAAGCAGAACAGCTGGTGAGGGTGCAGCGTACGCTGGCAGAGGTTAACCACGGGTGCCGGCTGGAATGGTAGGACAAAGGGTGTTCGAGATCACGTTGTACATGGGGCTAAAAATAAAGTTCTGGAGAGGAGAGCTGAAGCAAAGGCTCTGTTTCAGAGCAGCTGCAACAGTTACAGCTGCTTTCTCCTCCCAGTGAGGATTTGGGTCCTTGTTGGTACACTGAGATGCTAAAAACAACAAACTCTGTGAAGATCTTAGTGTTTCCATTTACAGGAGATTTGCAACAAATACTGGTGGTGCTGCTGTAACGCTTCTTCACTAAAGGTTGTCTGAATTGCTGGGCCCGTTTGCTTAGTGCATTGCCTGGCTAGTGTGTGCGTCACCTGAATACTGAAATTCTCGAATTTCATCTCCAATGCAGCCATGGAAATAAAGAAGTGTTCTCCTGCCGAGGAATCCTGCTGGCTGTGCAGTGGTTTTGGGACAGGGGACACAAGGATATCACAGTCTTTGTGCCATCTTGGAGGAAGGAGCAGCCACGACCAGATGTACTTATAACAGGTAATATGAAATCCAGAAGTAGCTTTTCAGGCTTACTGCTTTGTCACTTAATGAGCTTGCAGAGTTCTGGCTAGTTAGTAATTAACTTATAAATGGAAGGTCTGAGTAGCAGGAGATTCAGTGAGCTGAGCTGACCAGTGAGAATTAGTCATTAACTTCACCCTGAAGCAAGTTCTTGCCTGGATCAGTTGGAATAATTCAGAGAACAAAGCATGTAATACTGCTCTGCTTCCCAGCTTCCTCTTCCAGGGGCACATCTCCCTGCCCTGTATTTGACTGTAATGTATTTGACACTGTAGACTGCATGGAACATCTACATGCTAAAAGTTAAAGCTTGAGTTTAGTAAGAATTACTCAAATTGAGGGGAGTTTGCTCTGAACTTGAATGGCTGAGATTTCTGAGCAGCTCTGCGTGTAGTGCGGCACTGCAACAAGTACCAGCCTCTTGGTAAATGCAAATGGTGCTTTGCCTGCAAAAGGTGTGGATGGGACCCTCGGTGCTGTGCTACAGGTGCCCCTGGGTGCTGTGCAAGCACTGGGGCTGGGAGTCTGCCTCGGACAGCCTGAGGGAGGGTGTGAGAAAAGAGATGAGAATGCAGGGTTGCGGAGAGGTGAAGTGACTTTATGTGAATTTTGTCATTTATTGATAATGTTACTTTACGTGTGTGAAGGCCTGTGGACTGTGTAAGTGTGCTCACAGTTGTGTTTGTTCTAGACCAGTACATTCTCCGTGACCTTGAAAAGAAGAAAATTCTGGTCTTCACTCCTTCCAGGCGGGTTGGAGGCAAGCGTGTTGTCTGTTACGATGATCGATTCATTGTGAAGCTGGCACATGAGTCTGATGGCATCGTGGTTTCGAATGACACTTACCGGGACCTGCAGAATGAGCGTCCTGAGTGGAAGAAATTCATTGAGGAGCGTCTGCTGATGTATTCCTTTGTTAATGACAAGTATGTTCCTATTCTTCCTTTCTTTTTTAAAAGATCCGTGTGAACTTGCTCTCTTGTGAAGCAGCGTGTGTCTGATGGAGCAAGAGCAAGCCACGCATGGAAAGAGAAAAATGCTGGTACAGCATGAAAAAAAAGTCCTGTAGAGAGATTTGGTTTTGGTAGAGGAAGTGTGGTGGGAGACCTGCCCAGCTGTGGTGAGGCGCAAAGGCACAAGGGGCTGGAGTCAGTAGCTGTTGATGGTTTGGAGCTGGGAGCTCTGCTGCAGTGGAGTTCCTGGGAGGGCTCCAGGGCTTGATGTCTTCACAGGACACACATCAGGCCCAGGAGGGAGCACTAGCTCTGGTCAGCCACAGAGCACCAATGCTCGTCTGAGCCTGAAGCGATGCGTTTCATGCTCGTCTTTACCAGGTGACTTGAGAGTTGTCTCTGCAGAGACATGGGAAAGTTTCTTTTAGGGTTCAGATGGCTTTTCATATTCAGTGAAATGGGAGACTGAGAAGTGAAACCATGACCCAAGAAAGTGAACTGCTCCTGACTGAGATTTATTTTTCTTTAGGTTTATGCCTCCAGACGATCCCTTAGGGCGACATGGCCCCAGCCTGGATAACTTTCTCAGGAAGAAGCCTGTGGTGCCAGAGCACAAGAAACAACAGTGCCCTTATGGTAAGACCTTCCTTGTAAGCTTGAGAAATGAGGTGTTTGTGCAAGTGTAATTCGTAAATTTAGTAAAATTCAGCTGGTCATTCCATGCTCTGCCTTTCCTTGCAGGGAAGAAATGCACTTATGGAATTAAGTGTAAATTCTACCACCCTGAAAGAATCAATCAGCCCCAGCGCTCATTAGCTGATGAACTCCGAGCCAATGCAAGGTTGTCTCCTACCCGAAGTACTGCTGCCAAGGAGGAGAAAAAGGGCAAAAGAGGTTGCCAGGCAGAGCTCTTGTGCTCTGTCCCCACAGAGAGCGATAAAAGCTCTTTGCAGAAAGTCTCTGCAGAAAGGAAGAACTTGACCCACAAAGCAAAGCCCGGTGACGTTCTGCTTCAGGTCAAAGGCTGCGTGCCAGGCAGCGTCCCCCCCAACGGTGGGAGCCACAGGTCCTCGGACAGGTACCAGCAGCCTCACATGGACTCTCTGTCTTACATCTCTCAGGAGCACCTCGATTCGGGCATTGGGTCTCTGGAGAACCAACTGTCTGACATGTGGCCTTACCGATCTCCCAGTCACTGTGACCATTCCCACGCTGACCCGCTGGCCGTCTGCTCCTGCGGGAGGCAGAGACCCGTCTACCCGCACGCTCCCAGCTTAGAGCAGAACGGTCTGGTCTCCTACAAGCATGGTTCCCATAAGTCGTCTTCCTCTGGTGCTAGCTTCTTGCAGTACAGCCCTGAGATGTCTCACTCGGGAGCACCTCACTCTTTCTCAGGCTACGGGGTGCCTGTGCGCGCGGCGAGCGCGGGGCAGTACAGCCTGCCTGGCGAGTACAGTGCCCCCCCGCCCCATTCCCGCGAGTACTGGTCTGAGCCGTACCCGGTGCCACCCCCCCAGGTGAGATCTCCAGCCAGCACTGGGGTGCACGATCCTCGCCCGGTGCAGAGAGCCCCGGGGCCGGGTTACGGGGACTCCTGCCCGTGGGCCGTCTCTGACCAGTTTGCAGAGGAGCGGGCCAACGTGCACGTCAAGCTGTGCGGCATTTTCCATCCCCACTTGGTCGATGCTGTGATGAGCCGCTTCCCTCGCCTGCTGGATCCCCAAAGGCTGGCTGCGGAGATCCTGACGTACAAGTCTCAGAACCCAGGGATATGAGGCGGAGGCCAAGGGCAGCCGGGCCTGG